TAAAGCAGAAGACAAGAGTTCAATCTCTAACATGACGTGTTATATTCAGAAGAGAAAAATGCCGTTGCTTGATAAAGATCAATTTTTGTAGTACATACATATAGCACATACTATGTTTTCACTTTGACAAAGCTACTGTCATAAAGGAACAGGTCCTGATGTTTTTGAAAATAAAATTTGTGATGATCAAATTGTTAGGTGTAGCAAGTATTACTAGCAATCTATTATTTTTTCGATTGAAAGTAATCAAAATGAGTTGTAATTCACGTAGGACCTATGTTTCTTTGTAGGTGGTTGACATGTTTCATGGTGAATTTCATTAGTTCGGATTCCATTGTCTGAAATTATATAAAATGATTTGAAATCCCTGGAATAAGCAATGCAATTGATAATCACAATGAGAAAGCTGGAATCTCTTCCTTTTTTATTTCCTTTTCTGTTATTACGGCTCTGCCAGACCTTCATAATCATTTCAGTCACCGGCGGGACTGCTGTATCATCATTTTCCAGAGACGACAAACACTGTCTTCCGACATTTCGAGTCTCAGCATATGATGATTCATATTACAGTAATAATGATAATAATGATAAAATTTTATTTCCCTAAGACAGTACAGGCTGTATGGAAAAAGTCAAAGGAAGGGTGTCATATGAAGTGCATATACCATCAACAAACAAATAGCAAACACCGCATAAAAAACATACAAACGGTTATATATAACAGATAAAATCAAAAGCAAATAAGAACATAAATAGATGAGAAAAAAAAATTGATGTAAATTATGAATAGAAAAGGGCCAAGTACTGACCCTTGTGGGACACCCAAGTCGTTTTTCAAGTACTCAGTTGACTCCTGTCAAATTGAGACATACTACCATCTATCACAAAGATATGACCGTATCCAATCCATAGTGAGAGTTTATCCAAAAGAATTCTGTGATTCACAGTGATCTGTAAGAAGATCTGTTTTAAATTGATTTGTGCAATTAGCAATGTGCACAAGTCTATATGCTGTCCATCTAGCCTCTCTCTCCAGAAAAATGTGGAGAGGAGGTAGATTTAGAAAGATCCCCAGACCGCTGAAGGTGTGGTACTTGGTAGACATGACAGATTACTCATTATGCCTATTCTCTGAAATGAAGGTTTGAAAGATTTTCCATGTGAGGTTCCACTGGAATATTATTCCTGTATGGAATTTTCACCACATCGTTCATTATGAAGAAGGATTTATATCATATCATATATCAAGAGGTTGATTTTTACGTATGTACCCTTGGAAATTGAAGTTGGCGTGTTTCACGATTTTTTCACGGGGTGACTCTTTCTATTTGGAATCCACTGTATGGTGTCTCTCTCTGTTGTATATTACATGATAAAATGCCTACCACGCGTCAAATCAATTTTTATTCGTGTCATTAGCACCCCCACCTATTAGCTTACCTTTCATTTTCTTGTACTGTCATAATCATCGACCATTGTCATCAGTGAAAGTTTCAATCTGTCGTTCTTTCAAACTTCGGCATACCCTTCCGCGATATTTCTGGTTCTCAACAGAGTTGAATAATTTGTAAATACTTCTTCAAATACCACTCAGAGAAGATTGTTGGCTGCAGTTTTCTATGGAGTGTTTAGTTTGGCACACACAATATATCACACTTGTAGAACGCCGCCCCTATCTAGTTAAGTACGAGTTGTTTCGCGCAGTGTATGTGATCACCACGGGAATATTTCGCAAAGGTGACGGGAGAAAGAGACAATAAGGACAATCAGGAGAGCGACGAACTTGAGAGTGGTCGATGTTAGACGACAATTTAAATAAAAAAAAGTCCCGACAAGTGGATGTTTGCATATCCAGGTGTTATAACCACCAATTGATTGTTGGCAGTTGATTTTGTGTTGGCAGATTATCCGTTCCTTTACGTGTAGTAGAGATAGACGGATTTCTACCTGAAAGGTGTTGGCTGCTGTCTCAATTTTCAACCTTGTGGAACAGGACAACGGTGAGTGATAATCAAAGCCTCGTTTGGCAGTGTAGCGTTTAGGTTTCATTTGTTCATTTTGTCAATGCCATTGCTATCCTCATGAACAGAAGAATTCATTGAATTTTGATACTGAACCGAAAAATCTCTGATTTGTAACCCGATCCCATTATATAAATCAAACAATTTTTCTGTTGTTGAAAAGTGTAGTAGTGTTACACACTATATAAGTTTTTATATGATTTTGGCTTCAGATAATAAAAAAGAAAGTTCAAAATTGTTACTCAATCGAATAAACGAAAAATCTATATCAGAATGAAAAAAATAACACACAAACTAGTGTACTGCAACTGATCATACAATAAAATTATACGAAATATAATTTTCCTACCATAGCATTGAATTTTTCAGTATATTCCAATAAATCATTGAGCTCTGATTTCATACTTCGATGTTCTAGATTTAATTGTGTTCGGTAATATTGAACTCTTTTCGAACGCATTTAGAAATACTTGTCTATGAATTCGGTTTCACAACAAATCGTATACTGTTGTAACGTGCCTTTTTAGTTACGGGTTTATGCAGTCACGATTTTTATGACAAGTATCTATCGGTTCACCACAGTGGAGACGGGGTGGGTTCAAAGTATGTTGATAGCAATATTTGGGCGCCAGGTAAATTTAATTGCCGATATAGAATGCCTGAGTATTAAACTATTCCCCCAATTTACCAAGTGGAATAAAAAAACAAATGACAACGTACCAGTACCAATTTTTTTTTTCATGGCAAAACAGGTAATCCTCTTATTTTCAATATATTTTATGATAAGAACACATCGGATATCCAACTATACAATAAAGTACCACCGTTTTACAAAAGCCTGATTTTGGAAATATTACTTGAAAAGAAACACAATCATGAAATTCATGTGTACAAGCAACCATCTGTCTACCAGAAAGACACGTACAGAATACGTACAGAATAGGGCACCGATCTCCAAAAAAAGTCAGAGGGCCTCGGTGTTCTTCCTTCCTCTCGATTTATCAATGCCATTAAAAAAAAAGAACAATCGACTACGTTAACAACTTGCTGTCACTATTTTGGACCAATAGGGTAGCAAGATAGAAAATAAGTATTTTTGATTGTAGGAAAATCTAGTAGAATAGTTGGATATCTGTATAATAAACGAGATACAATAGAAATGGCGGCGAATACACCGTTGTTTTTAGAGAAAAATCACGGAAACTCTTTGAAAATGTAGGTTGGGCACACTGGCAAACCAGATGTGTCCCTAGCTGTGACGAAAAGTTCGTCATCAAAAAATGACAATTCTGTCGATTCCATAATAAATAAACGAACAATATCTACAATATTTACAAGTAAATTCAGACCGTTACACTGTATCCTAGAATCACTTTTCACTCAATAGTCCAAGATTCATTGAAAAAAAAATTAAAAGACGAAATTATGTAGAGATGACGCTCAGATGAAAATGATGGATTGGGAGTTGGACAATATGAAACTTGAAAAAATATTTCCCTTCTTCAAGACTTCGTTCATAAACTTTCAAATGACCTTGAGTGAAATAATGGAAGATTCAGTTTTACGTAAAATCAACATTGTTGAGATTTACCTAATTTCATGAACGTGATGGAAATGAATAGTTGATATGTTGTTCATGATACCTGATTGTTTCGAATCTTTAGATGAACAACTTTGTGACGAACAAACATTTCGATTATTGATATTTCAATGATATTTTGAGGTATTGAAGCCGTGATGAAAAATTCATTCGAATCAAAGCGGATATCATTTTCATTTCCTGTGAATTATCGAATATTGAAAGAAGCAACTTATTGGCGTTTTGAAGTTCATTTACTTTCATATTGTGTAGCATTCGACCAATTATATTTATATAAACACCATTTCGTATTTTCAATGAACCCCAGAATAATTTTTCAGGTAAAAAAATCCTTGATTTGAATAAATTGACTTCAGATGAAAATATTCCTTGTCGGAAAAAATCACAACGTATACACAGTATTTTCAACGATGTCTCATTGCAAACCGAAATGTTAGCGAAGAAAATATATGCATGTGGAACTATGAGAAAGGGCCGAAAAAACGAGCCTAAAAATCTATTAGGTAATAATAGGTGACTGGAGAATGACTGCAAAAGGTCTTCTGTATTTGAACTGGGCTGATAACCGACAAGTTTTATTTCTCAGCAATTTTCATAATTCAGAACATAACTTTGTACACCGCAAGCAAAAAGATGGTTCTTGATGATATATGATGATATATATTGAGTTTTCTATATTTTTATGAAAAATAGGGGCTGCGAGAATTCATACGTATATGAGGAATGTATTCATTGAATAAATGAGATATATGAGAAGACATGTTTTTGGATTCGAAAGATCAATAGAATATTTTTCTTTCAAAAATATTCATTCTCAACATCAATACATTATTGCAGTGATGAATAGTTGAAATGTCATAAATAGTAGAATTCATTCGCTACCTACTCCGTTGATATATATCAGAAAGTACCTTCATCAGTAACGAGAAATGTGTTATTACGTCATAGTAGGTAATTGATATTGGAATTTGTACCTACTCAATTAGATTTCATATAAATTGAGAGGCAGATCGGAAGAACGTCAGTTCTGATCGAGAGTTGCGCATTGTGAAGTGACATATTCTTTCTAATTTAATTTCTGCAAATAAGTTGGTGCATTCACAGACCTGACAATGACCAACCAAGATGGAATTCATACTGGAGGACGACCAAAGTGCGATATATGTTCGAAATCTTTCGCTAATAAACAAACTTTAAAAATGCACCAGAGAATCCATACCGGAGAAAAGCGATTTCAATGTACATTCTGTACAAAATCTTTCACACAATCAAATACCTTGAGAATTCACGAAAGATGCCATTCTGGAGAAAAACCTTATCAGTGTAACAAATGTTCAAAAACATTCAGTCGGCGTGATAATTTGAAAGAACATGAACGGATTCATACAGGGGAACAACCGTTCCAGTGTAGTTTGTGTTTCAAATCTTTCACTCAGGCGAGTACTTGGAAAAATCATGAACGAAGTCATACCGGAGAACAGCTATTCCAGTGTGAATTCTGCTTAAAATCATTCACCCGAAAAGATAATTTGAAAGTTCACAAGAGATGTCATTCTGAAGAAAAACGTTTTCAGTGTGGAATATGTTTGAAATTCTTCAGTCGCCGCGATANTGAAGGATATCATTTTTTGGCGTTTTGAAGTTCATTTACTTTCATATTGTGTAGCATTCGACCAATTATATTTATATAAACACCATTTCGTATTTTCAATGAACCCCAGAACTATTGTTCGATAATGTTCCTAACAACCCGTCACTGAAAATTTCAGATGTGTAAGCTGGGTAATAACTGATACATAAACACTGGTGATTTTATTCATCACATGTTTATTCAAATGGGGTTGTACGCTTTCTCTTTTCCTTATGTTATCGATTATTTATTTGCACAGGTACGTATTTTAGGCTCTACTACAGAACTACTCAAAACTCAGGTATTTCAATTGTTAAAGTATTATATATACAAATTATTCGTTAAAGTAAACAACAATAGTTCAAATCTGTAATCTCACGGCCTACCAGTTTACAAACGAAAAGGAGAGAGGGACCTACGGGTGCTTGAAAATTGTTATTTTGACGTTTACGAATGATTATACCATGTGGAACAAAATGGTACCGTTACATACTTCCTTCCTTTCTTTGGAGGATTCTCTCATCCCTTTTTTTGTATCAGATGGAGTAGTAGAAAGCCAAAAACTTTCTTTCCCCAAAAAAAAAAATTAATCACTCCTAAAAATATAAAATCTTCAATTCAAATTAAAATGAACTTCACAATAAAAATGCGTCCCCTTGGCAGATACAAAGTCGGCCTTCCGCATAGCGCACTGCCATAACTTTCGTGATTTTAAGTCACTTGGCAGTGAAATAAAAATTTTGTCTGGTACAGTTACCGAAGAATTCTTGCATTTAGGAACGATGCAATACTTGTAAGGTCCTTTTTAATCATTATTAATATTGACTAAAATGGTTTAGACTTTCACGGCTGAGGTTTTCAGTGTCGTTGCTTTTCGAGTTTGAAAGCCGTCGGTTTTTGGCATTTCTTCCTGACGTTTCGCTGGCGCGAGTGGCTAGCTTCTTCAGAGGTTTAACCATCATGGATTGCTGTCCGATGACTACCTTTTAGGCTTCGTAAAGTTGTATTTGTACCTGTATTTGTACCTGAATTTGTACCTGTATTCGTACCTGTACTTGATTTCAGTTCCCTCTCCAGATGTTCTGGTTCACATATTCTCCGAGCCCGTTCCGTTAGAGTGGAGATAACTCCTCTCTTTTAGCTAGGATGGTGGTTCGATAGTGCGTGCAAGTATCTATCTGTGTGTGTGGGTTTTCGATACACTTTGTGGGTCAGTCTGGTACCACATCGTTCTATTGGTACATCTAGGAATGCTATCCGTTGATCTTGCTCAATCTCCATGGTGAGTTCTATGCTCGGGTGTTGGGCGTTCAAGTGGTTCAGGAAACGGTTCAGAGTGTCTCTTCCATGCTTCCAGATGACGAAGGTGTTATCCACGTAACGTAGCCATAATTGATATTCACGCAGTTGACACACTGCAGTAAACAACATTGTTAAATGAGCCCATTCAATAGCTTGAATTTCCGCTGGAAATACAGTCGCACAGGTTCCTAGGTAGGTTGATATCTCTGTCCTGGGTCTGCAACTGAAAACACCTGCACCAGAACCGGAAGGTGTTTTTGCTGTTCTTAATATTTCCTTATCCCGGAAGATCCAGTCCTCTCCACTCGGAAACAGTACTTCATAAGGTTGATCGTAGTTGACAGTTGGAGGCATAAAGTCTGAGGTCAATTCCAGAATGCTGCGTCTTCCACTGTCAACTAGCAGTCTATTGCACTCAGCAATAATTTGATTTGTGCAATTGTTGGTAATGTTAACAAGTCTATATGTAGTCTATCTAGCCTCTCCCTCCAGAAAAATGTGAAGAAGAGGTAGATCTAGGAGGATCTCAATGGCCGCTGACAGTGTAGTACTGATGGCACCAGGTGAGTTTTTTATCAAGGACAATGCCAAGATATTTCACCTCCTCCAAATGGAATGACCTCATCATTGAGGTAAAGTGGCGTTAGATCATCCAGTTTTCTCCTTCTGCTAAAGGGAATTATCACAGATTTGCTGGGGTTGACAGACATCTGATCTGAGAATTGGGTACATCAATGTGGAATGTGACATTCGATCTGGACGTATATCGAGGGACATTAAAATCGATTTATAACAATAGAGTTGGTGAGTCCTTTGCACCATTTTCCAGTACATACATGCAAATTAGATCTGTAAATTCTCGTCATTTTTGCAATGTAACAAAATTGAATTCATTCAGAAGACAAATGTGTTCACAGTTTCTAACCGGAGTTTATGACCGGATTTATGACAATAGAGTTGGTGAGTCCTCTGCACCATTTTCCAGTACATACATGCAAATTAGATCTGTAAATTCTCGTCATTTTTGCAATGTAACAAAATTGAATTCATTCAGAAGACAAATGTGTTCACAGTTTCTAACCGGAGTTTATGACCAGATTTATGACAATAGAGTTGGTGAATCCTTTGCACCATTTTCCAGTACATACATGCAAATCAGATCTGTAAATTCCCGTCATTTTTGCAATGTAACAAAATTGAATTCATCAGAAGACAAATGTGTTCACAGTTTCTAACCAGAGTCTCCATGTTTCTTTTAATACACAAACTCGAGAAACTTCTTCTAAACACCATACAAAGCATCAATGTATTTTGTTTGATCAGAATTCCTGACAGAGCTACAATACTTTAATTTACTACGAACCAAATATTGTTAACCGACCGAATACACTTAAAGGATCTGAACTCTCTGCAGTTCCTTATAACAAATCCCAGCAACTTAAGAGCTTCCTGAACAGTATTTTCAATTTACCCATTGAACGTAAGTTCATTGTCAAACAAGATTTCGAAGTCGAGAGTATCATTAACTCGTGGTGAGTCGAAATTATCAATTGTATAATTGAACTGGTACCGATTCAGTATTCGAGCATAAGTCATAATTTTACATTTTCCAACATTGAGAAGGAGTTTGTTTCCATTACATCACTAGTGAAGTGAGTTCAAAGTCCTCTGGAACAACATAGATAGATAAATAGATAGATGTGGACTATTATCTCACCCAGGCACTGTCGGGGCACGATTGTGCCCCGTGCGAGACTTCTATATGCACCTGAAACAAACACCATATCCACGTGGCGAAGAGACTTGGAACAAAACATATAGGACGGTAAGAGAAATCATCAAAACTAAGGAAAGAGAAAACAGGTGACGAGAAACTCGAGTGATGAGCTCAAGAAAAATTGAGATCAGTCGGAGCACAAATCGATGACCAAATGTGATAGTTAACTGCCAAAATTTCGTGATAATAATTGTGATGTTTTCTTTTAATGTTTATGTAAACGTCGTATAGTTCTTAAAATTACTCAAAGTATTTCATACAAACACTGTCCAGGGCATACGTATCGAAGTAATGCGAGAGCGGATTCCGGTACGTATTGCTGAGCAACGAGAGAAGGGTTTTAGTCGGTAGTAATCCGGCACAGAGTCTATGAAGATTTCCCCTCCTCCTTCAAAAAAAATAGATAGATAGATTTTATTGATCCTTTTTGCTACATAATGTGTTGATGAGATAAGTCATAATTGTAGTTAAGTTATAAACATGCATACAGATAAACATACAAAGGTATAAACAAACATACAAATAAATTTTGGGTCTAGATAAAATTCAACTAAAATAGGTTTCACAATAAAATACAATCAGATGAATCACGTATTTCTTTGAAAAGCTTCAAATCATCAGCAAAAATCAGCGTTGTTGATTTTTGCTGATGATTTTTGCCGTGTTAGGAATCACACGTTAAAAGGTAAGACCTCATGTTTCTGTCAGATTAAGCGAATTCCTCTAGATAATCGTCAGATTATGAGACAGCACGTCTAAAACATAAATATGAACCATATATATCTTAATCTGATACGCTTGAGTGTTTCAAAATGGTGATTTTTTTTTGCACATCATAAAAATGGCCGCGAGTTTGCGTCATATCGAAATCGTCAGATTATTGAATGAGTGTTTTTTTTTTGTTGCACTTAATACCCCCTTAGAAAATCTGATGCGCTCGATTAATTTTTTTTCTTTTCACTTTCAACCCCTACGTACAACCACCTACATCATACAAACGATCAGATTAACATATATTGAAAATACGTAGGACATTGATGCTATCAATATCTGACGCGCTCGAGTATATCCACGAAACAGTTTTTCACATATTCAAAAATCTATAGCCGCTTCCCCCATCGATGAAAAGGTATATATTATATAACGTTTTTTCATCTTATTATCTAAGCTTTGCAACCTAATATGTCTCAATGTCGCTTGAGTAAATCCACATTTTGCATCGTGGTCTCTCCTGTTGTAAAATGAGCACAACGATCTACTGATGTAATTTCATCAGTTGTGTTTGGGGTGGAGTATGAAATTTTGTAGATAAAATAATGATTCATAAAAAATAGGTACTGAGATCACGAGACTTGTAGCCTTGAATTGCTGGCATCATCAATCAACAATGAAATCAAAATTTTTAACCGTAATTGCCACTCCATTTTATCAACAATAACTAGTTTGTAGAGGAACAAAACATCAACAAAATTAATAACAGCGTTATGAAATCAATCAACCTCACACATGATCAACATAATTGGCTTGTTTATTGACTTACATGAATACATTAATCGCACACAACCCTAATATATTGTGTCCAGTTCAAATCCCGTTACATAACGTAAATTATTTTCATACCAACCGGAATATCATTAGGTTAATTATTGTTTATCGGTTGAAAACAAACCAAACGACCCTACATCAAACATTTATATCTACGGGATATTTTGTTGTGAAATTTTGTTACCCTAATTTCGGCTGGAGATTGTTTTCAAAAAAATGTGGAAAGGTAGTTGATTCGTTGAACAATAACATAATATACACGATTATTCAAGAAGAATGATGAAGGAAAGAAGAGAAAATATCTACTAGAAATCATTGA